CTTTGTCAGCTGCTCCACCAGTGCCTTGGCGGCCTCCTCCAGTCGCTCGCCAACCATGTCAGACTCCAGCACCGGGGAAGTTATGCGACTAACTCGAGGAACCACCCTTGGTTCGGCGGCAGACACATGGTGTTGCAGCTTGGACCTTCGGGCCGAGATCTCTTCCAGCCGATCGTTGAGACCCTTAATTTTGTCGCCCACCTCATGTCTGAACTTGACCTCGCGAAAGCAGGCAAAGATGGGAAATCCGCAAAAGGTGGACGACCTCGGATCGGACTCACGAGGAGTCCACTTCTCGGCCTCCATCCCGCACTCGTCGAGGATGTCGTCGGCGTCGTACATGACATCCTTGAGCTCCATCAGCCAGTCTTTGACGCCCTCGTTCTCGATCCGCTGCTTCTCGGCGTCGCGAAGGACAGAGTGGATGTTGCGGAGAGAACGTTGGAGCTTTTGGATCTCCCCGGGGACGCCCAACAGCAAGTCCACCTCCTCTTTAGCCATGTCCTTCAACGTACGGACCAGCCCGGAGATGAAGGAATCAAGCACAACGGCCATCTTTGATCACAGAGTGAAGGAATCATCAAGCACAATGTGCCTCTCTCTCTCTTTAAAGTCTTTTGTGTTAGCCAAGACAAAGGTAGGTGCAAGTCATACCTGCATAAACTATAAAAAAAATTTTCTAAAAGAACTTAAAAAGCTTTATTACTAAATTGATAAAAAAAATATATTTATTTTGTATAAGAAATCAGAAATAAAATATATTAAATTATTAAAAATAAGATGCATGATTTTGTATAAGAAAACAACTAACCTAATTATATTGATTTTTAATATTTATTTATTATATTAATAATTATCATCAACACAATTAAACCATTATCATTACCAATATCATTACTATTGAGATTAGCAATATCAATGCCAATATCATTACCGACACCAATAACAATATCATTACTAATACCAGTACCATCAACATGAGGAATACCATTATCGATATCATTAACATTACTAGTATCATTACCATTATCATTAGTAAGATCATTACCATTACCATAATCAATATCATTATGATTTACTAATAACAAAATGATTACCATCAACATTACAAATTCTAACATCATTACAAATGTCATAAATGCTATTATCATTAACAATACATACTATAAATCATAAGCTATAAAATATATATTAATTATCTATATTCATGTTTAAGTTATAGGCATCATTCTACGTATAATTTTACCTATGTGATTAGAACTTAGTAATATTTTTTCATACTACATATTGACATACTAAAGTCATAAGCTATAACCTATATATTAATTACGTATCTTATACATGCTTAAGTTATAATTATCATTCCATATACAAATTTTCCTATGAGACTACCACTTGTGACAATCACAATAGACTCTGAGACAACTACGTTTACTTGATTCTCCTTTCACATCAAACTATTTATGTGGAATTGAATTGGATTGGGATGTGTGGAGGTGCTGCTCGCATCTGCAGGTCATCTTCTTCGGAACTATTCTCGTACAGCTTTCATTTGCCTTTCTCTTGTTCTTCGTTTTTATGTGCGCAGAAGTCAGCTTGGTCCGTCCGATAGAAGCTCGCCACCAATGGGTTACAGCTAATGATTTCTAGAAGAAGCCACCTCGGTGAAGTTATGTGGAGCAGTGAGGGAGACGACCGAGTCGGCTTTGGTTTCAGACACAGGTTTGTGGTTGAAGACTTGTGAAATGGACTGAGAAAAGACAGGTTGAAGGAGAGAGGAGATGGGAAGAAGACGATCGGTCCTAACGCGTTTACGTGTTATTGCATGCCGCTCATCAAAGCTTTGACCACTGCATCTTCCGCAATGCATTTTGTAAGTTGAAATCGATAAGTAAGTAAGATAGAATTGATGTCACAAAAACAAGTTTAATTCATTGTCATCTCTATCTCCAAGTATGAAGTAAAGATCAACACGAATGCCTTTTGCCAATCCAAATGAATAATTATTATATTTCCCCCAAGCAGAGCTTGCTGGTGTAATCTGAAAGCATTAATTTATTAATGATTGATATGATAGCCTGTTTGTTGTCATCATAATGATTAAACTTAGCATGTATTAAAGTGATTTGACAAGTTGTGAATGAAAAATATTTTAAGTTTTCATTTTGTCACACATCCGACTTAATGAAATGTTTTTCTAATATCTTCTTATGCCAAAAATACTTGGAACATTTGGGTTTGTCATTGTTGAAAAGCAAATCAAATGAAGGAAAAGAATAGATGATGACGCAAACAAATTCTGTCTCTACTATCTACAATAAAAAAATAATTATTTTTTGACTTTTTCTGTTCTTCCAAATATCTTCACCAACTCTCAGGATCCAGGATCATTTAATGAGACCAATGATTTCGTCATTGCTTTTCTTGTGTAATCTGAATTCTGAACCCATGAAGTGTTGCAATTTGCATTCATGGAGCAACCACCTAAAAAAGTTCTGATATTTCACTTTTCCTGCATTCTTCTTTACTGTTGATAACTCACTTTACATCATCGAAGAAAAAAAAAGGGCTCTTTTCTTTTTCTTCTTGGAATGACCAAAATGTTCAGCAATCAGCAGAGATTGCAGTGATCAAATAGGCCTGAGCACTTCACTGTTTTCTGATATGGATTTTTTTCTTTCCCTCATCTCTGTTCTTGCAGCACAATATGTGATCCCATCAGCAAGAAGCTACCTCACACTGCTTTCTTTTCTTTTGCTGATCTCTGTTCATGTAGCACAGCGTGTGATCCACCTACAGCAGCTGGCAGTGAAGTGCCTGCAAAATGCCAAGCAAACAGAGTCATCATCACATGGTTGGTGCAAATGCCTACTTTGTCACCAAGAAAAGCCCACACTTCACATGCTATATCTATCTTACGGGCATTTGTGTCTTGTCTTGATTCAGGGAAACCTTGCTGTGAACTCAGCCATGTCTTCTGACAAACATTTACATATACTAGATAGGTGAACACTTGCTATGGATCCATGGAGAGGTCAATTCCTTTGAGAGAAGCTTTTCAAAGGCTCATTGCTAAGTGACAGCTTGTCAAACATTCAAGTTAAGCTTTAACCACCTGCTAAGTGCATTGGAAGGAGATTTATCAGTTTATGTTCAGAAATGGTTGCTCAATTCATCCTTAAGTATAATTATGTGATATTGATGCAAGCATGACATTGATACCGCCTGATGCATTACAATCGGATTAAACCGAGATTTAATTAGCCTTGATATGAACTACCTAAAACTACAAGACTCTTAGTTAGCTGTAATCTAGATTCTAGAAGGCTCTTTTCAATTTTTTAATTACCTTTTGCATAAAGTATGCATAAAAATGGAAGAAGAATCACATTGCACTTTTATCTTGCTGTTCTTATTGCCTGATTCTGATGTCATTTCTGAAATTGCAACAAAATATCAAGAGGTATGCTATATTCGGGAAATGATCTTAAGATGCCAAGAAAATTAGAAGCCAGATCTGCTTATGCATAGTTTAAATTGTTTTAGATTATGTCATTATGATACAGCTTGTTACCTGCATTTATGATTTTGTAGACCTGAGAACAAAAATAAGAAAAATCAAGATCTTGGTTTAATATAATCATTGTGGTGTCCATTTAGCAGGAAGGTTTAGTTAAGTGATTATACTAAGAAGAGGGAATTAATCAGCAGAAACTAGACATAATACAAGTTACTATTATGCCAACTTAAGGTACACTCTCATATATGCAACTGTGCAGAACTTGGATGCAAATAGTTCATGCATTTGGAGGAACCTACAGCTCATGTCAATAAGTTAGCAAAGATCTATGGCAACTGTTTCATGCACAGTTCAAGGTTTTAATGTATCAAGCAAATGCCAACAAGAAGTTCATTGTAACAAGGTTTAGATACAAAGTTACAGTCATTCTTGTCTAAGTCTTCTAAATTCTTGCACTTGGATGAATGTATTCAACTCCATTTCCTTGTATTCTCTAGGAAAAAGTGCTGACCCAACTCATCGTTTTTATCAAAGATATGATTCTTTCTATAGATCTTAGCATGCATGAAATGTGCAGTCATATAAGACAGAAAAACCTTGTACAAGAACTAACAAAAAAGATGGCCAGGACAAAACATTATGATCTAGGCAAAGATCAGTTTGCAACTCAGATTCATAGAACACTCCAAACCACTCCACAGCCTTCAGAGTGTACAGACAGGCTCCTTTTTGTCGAGAGTTCATTGCAAAAGATGAGTGCTTCACCTGCTTGGCTCTACTCAGCAATGGAGGTACCTAACAAAGCTTGAAGAGTCGGTGATGCCATCAGGGTTGCAAATGTGGCCAGTGGGGGATCATTTTGGGGGTTCTTGTGAATGAACAGAATGATCAGAGCAACAATTGAAGAGATCTCTTGACTTAGGAGAAGATTAATGTGGCATTGTCATTATGGAAGCAATGAGGAAGAAAGGTATTTCATATCCTACTTATCTCTGTCCATTCTCTATCTAAAGATTGGATCCAATGTGTTAGAGGGCCTCAACTGCCTCCACTTTGATTTGGTGCATATTTCCATTGTGTTCTTTCAGCTCCAAGACAAAAAAAAAAAGGGTTTGACAACAGTGATGAAACACAGGACTCAACACAATCATTTGAAGAAAATTGCATTTATTTGAAGCCTAATCTGCCTCATCCTTTCTGTCCATTGTTGAGAATCACAAGCTTGCTATTTAGTATTATCAATTCAGATGTTGGTCACAATACCACACACAACACAACTGTAAAATAGAACAGAATTCAAGGCAAAAGACTGAGTCACCTGTCAACCTGTGTATGGAACTTTTTCTCTTTCTCCAGTCAGCACCATTGTAGTTGGTAAGTGATAAGAATGCACCACACTGATGCATGTAACTCGAGGCTGATTCTATATCTCATCTATCAAGACTTCTACTTTGTTTCAGATGATTGATTTCTTCTTAGGCAAAAGAGAAGCAGAATTTTTATGCTTATGAGTGTTTTGCAGTATGCACGTTTCCTTTTGCGTTGCTGAAAATAAACTTGGATATGGTAGGTGATTAATGGGTATCTGTGTTTCCTTGACATTAACATGAATCATGAAGGGAGAAATCATTTTAGTTTCATCTGTTTGGGCTGATGGCCCATATTCAGCCCATGTGGGCTTTATCAGCCCACAGCCCACACCCCCTCTTAACCTAACCCTAATTAAGATTAGGGGGGTGTGGTGGCTGCATTTTAGAGGCAGATTAAAGCTATAAAAAGGCAGCAACGAGGCAGATCTTGTTAGCCGCGAGATTCTAAAGAGAAGAAGGAGAACAAGGCAGAAAAGGCAGAGAAAGAAAGAGAAGAAGACAAGGACAACGCAAAGAGACTGTTCTCAATCATCTAGCAGTGTTCTCATCTCAGGTTAGATCAAATCTACAGTAGGCTCTTGCTGTGATTACTTGGGAGTTTTAGATATTGTGGGCAGTGACGTGATCCTTGTATCCCAGTTATTCTCTTGTGGTTGTTACTAGGGTTTTGGGCAAAAGATTGAGATTTGTACATTCATTATTCTCATAGTGGATTATCTCTAGTTTGCCCCGTGGTTTTTACCCTTCACATTGAAGGGGTTTTCCACGTATATCTTGGTGTTCTGTTTGATTGTGTTTCCATTTTATTCCGCTGCGTATTTTGGTCTTCTAGTATTTGTTCCTATACAAAGGTTATTCCTGTTTATATCCTCATCAACTGGTATCAGAGCGGGGTTTTGGTGATTTAATTTTTGTATTTGAACATGGAGGCCAGTAATATTTCTCGCATGATTAGTTTGAATGGAAATAATT